GAGGTTGACATCGGTTGGACGAGTATGACGATTACGAAAACAGTTGAACATGATAATTTTCAAAGTTAACTCAAACTACTAGTAATGAAAAGAAGAAGTAATGTTTTCTCTTTTCCATGTTGATCTCAAGCATGCATGGACAACTTGGTATGGGATACTCATGTATTCTGTTGTACTTATGGCCACTTGAAAGTACGAAAAAGGCACACTATGTTCCCAGCTTTGAGGCTCCATAAGTACAACAAAGTGAATATGTATTCCTGCGTGCCAAAGCATAATATGAGGATTTTGAGAGCATAATGCGAGAATCCATGAAAGCATAATTCCATGATTTCGCGAGCATAATCCGCCGGAGCCTACTCCAGAACCACGGGACGTCCGAACAGCTTCCTGCAGCCTCGGAGACACATAGTACAATACCTAAGTAGCGAGAAAGACAACTTACATCAAACATAGGCCATGACGTGACAATACTGCTCGGATTTCTTTGCTGCCAGAAGAGCGGTCACCCTTGCGTACAATGCCGATGCCGCCTTCCCCATCCCTCCGCTTGCCGACATCACCACTGGAACGAAAGAGGCTCCACGTCCCTGACACGTCTCTCATAATGTCTACGGAGAAAGGATTCAACACGTTGAGTGGGCAGGCTTCATCCCTGTGGTTTTCTCGCCACATGGTGGCATGGGCAACTCAGCCTTTTCTCTTTACAAGCGCATTGCCTCCATGTTGTCCGAGAAGACTCGTGAAGCCTACTCCTCCTTCATGGCCTGGATTCGTGCCGGTTGAGCTTCGCCCTCCTGCGTGCAAGTGTTGCCTGTCTTAGGGGTGCCCGCGGACCGATCCACTGCCACTTTCACCACCTTGTCTCTGCTTCTGCCGCACTGGCGGTTGTCGAAGATCAGATTGTGATCTGATCCAGCTCAGGAGCAGTATTGTGTGAGAACTGAACGGATTTTTGTCATCAAGTGTATAGTGTTTTACTCTCTCATTGGTTTTTGATCCATGTGGTATGGCATTTCTATTTCCTGTATTTTTCTTCTTTTTTTCACGGAGAAGGCGGACAGCCCGAACGTGCAGTGCTGGATTTCAATGAATTGTTTGAAGTTTTGATCTGACAAGAGGCGGTTCCACATTTTAAAAGAAAAAAATACAGCCAGCTGAGAGAGGCTGTCGCATGCTTAAATCACCTTTACATGCCTACGCTGACACCCACGGTCAACTGGGTTCTGACTACTCGGAGTGAGGGAAACGTAGATGCAGTTAACGAGGTTCGCCCCCTTATTGGACATTGGTCGTGAGACTTGCCACCTCACCCTCGCCGTTTATGGCGCTGTATCTGCCACCCTGGTATAATCAGCCATGATGGTGGCCTGGAAGGAGCGAAATTTCTCGTGAAACAATGTAGTTACTCGATGAATTGTCCACCTTCAGGTGAATGGCGATGAAATGTCACGCACGTAACTGACCTCACGTCACACAAACGACATATTACACAATTTGTTCAACTTCCTCACTTGTTCCCAACTTGTTGATATCATAGCATTTCGAGATTCATCACCTGTAGTGCGAGATGAACTTGAATGTTCTACAAAAGGATTTTCAACGGGAACTCAATGTCATTTTCCACTAGTCTTCTTCACATCTTTCCTATCAATCGGTTTCGGACCAACGACTCACTTCAAGAGAAAATGGATTCAGCTAGCGAGCTAGTGCTTACGTTGCCAAATCCGACTTCCTGCAAAGGCCAACGGGACGCAAAGCGACTATCCTTATACGCGAGTGTAAACGCTACAAGTACCTCAATCCTTCTGCGCGTCAAGGTCGATTCCAAGGTGTTCGCAGAATCCTTCTCCTCGTCGCCACGAGCTGCAATAAGTCCTGAGGATCAACAGAAAATGGTCGATCAAGTCCTCGGAGATATCGCCAAGGTCAGCGAAATGTCAGCAGACCAATCCGCACCAGCGGGAAATATCGTGTCCCTACTGACTCTGCTCTGCTTCGGAACAGCCATAATGAAGGAAGATATCTGCATCACTAGGAATGAACAGGATGAGCAGGCCCACGGAATAGCTCGGACTATTCCAGTGCCTGCAACTATGCTGGAAATGGGACTGGCGCTTCGCAATAACCTAGTAGAAAAAGAAGATGGAAAGTCGAGTTCACATTCCTCGTTTCACCATCTGGATCCCGCCAGTCGAGAGCAAGTCCGGGTCCTGTATGACCGACGTCGTTTGGGAGAAGTTCGCCTTTTCCTTCCCGACGGCTCGACTTTCGAGATTTACCAGCACCTGAAGAACCTCTTTAAAAAGATCCACGGAGATATGAACGACTGGTTTCCAGGCGTGTCAGTGGTAACTTTCTCACCGATCATCCTCTCACCTGATTACGCTGGCGAACTGGAGGGTCTTCAGATTTCTGTTGTGTCCAGCTGTGATAAATCAGCGTCTACTCCCACGACATTTATGTTTCATGTCGGGGATAGCCTTGACACGGTAACTGCTGTTGTTATGTACATTGAAAATGCCGGAATCACGTCTGTCATGATAAAGAAACATCGGAGAAGGAGCAACTCGTCGAGGACACAGGCTTGGTGGAGTCATCTCGACATGACTATCTTAGAGTACCTGCCAGTAAACATATACACGATGTTGGGCTCAGCAGGTACAAAGTTGCAGCTTCATCCGAGTACGCATCGCCCAAGATGCACCAAGTACTTTCCAGTGCCTATCCAAGCTTGCGCGCCTGAATGGGAGGTCCTCAGGCAGCCACCTAATGACCGACTGCTACAATGTGAAGGATGCTGGAGAGATTCCAGACTTCTCACGGACAAGCAGCTCCACCAGTTTCAGCTGACATCGCAAGTGGACATCACATGCCCATTCTGTGACACAGACGATGGATTCCTGGGAAAACCAAACCCGGTCTAGCTACAGAGAGCTTCTCCAAAGAGTTACTTCCAGTCACTTGCCCAGTCACTGTCAACATCCCAGGCGTCCAGGTAAACATTTATTTCATGGGGAACATTCTTGCATTTACATCCTGCACTGCTGAGCTCTTCCCTGGAACACCGTACCACCAATGTTCCGACAATAGATGGTATTATTATAATTTTTTATTCTTATCCACTCTATTTGCACTGTTATTAGTAGGTGGACCGAAAAAGGACTGACTTGCTCCCTTCGTTTATTGTTTCGTACTAGTCGGTGTCACTGAGTTACTCAGTATAATGAACTTGCATTCACTGTAGTTGCGTACACGTAACGATGCTAGGCCTTGAACAATGATCAGGTCCTGATTGAGATTTCCTAGACTGGATACACTCTGTAAAATGTTAGGTCTGTACAGTAGTTCCCTGCTCGATTACCTTTGCAGATACCTTTTGACGAACCATCTCGTCTCCACCGCCCTCCTTTCCCTTTTCTAGTGCTCTCAATAATATTCAACAATATTCAATATTATGGGAAGGTCAATTACTTGCTTCTAAGTTCTACATGATAGTGAAGAGAGCGGGAGGTGAAGAGAAGAAACTCCATACGGAGAATTGGTACGGAATTGATCTAGCCATAATTATGTAAGTGGCCTAACATGTGAGCGGTGGAAATCCTTCTGGGCGTATACAATAAGTATTGTTGTTATACCGGTCTTGCAAGATTTTCCAACACGTATGGATCCGACTTGACACGGTGATAACCAGGGAGTGGTGTATTTTACTACTCCCCCCGGTCATAACTAAGGGCGCGTTCGAATTGTCACTCTTTGACTTTTCGAGGAGTTTCGTTTTTCTGAAGAGGTGGCTTATTGGCCTCTTCACAAAAACGGAACTCCTTGAAACTCATCGAAACTCCACAACCTCATCCGATGGGAGAGATGGATTAGTTTCGAAGAGTTTGGAATAGCTACATGTACGTCAAGATGGTCGATGTGATCGGACGACACGTCATTATCGCCATGACAATTCCACTGAAAAACTCTAAAATGGTAGAAACCGTTCTATTCAGAATCTATTGGGACACTTCAACTAATCTCTAAAAATAATTATTGTGCAAACAGTTGATGAAGACAATTCGAACGCGCCCTAAGGTACTTGCGAGCAGTGGAGATCTTTTTCGCAGGATATACATGTAATTCTTATTATTGCTCGTATCCGCGTATGCTTGTCTTGCCAGACTGGCCAACCCATAATGTTATTTTTAATTTTGTACATGTTTGTATGGGTCTGGCTCAACGGTCGCTGCCCCAGCTGTTGTGAAATGGAATATGAAGCAGGAGCGTAGACTACTGACGCGTAGTACTAGATCTACTGTGTTGGCCAGCCTAGCCGGGGTCGTGAGGCCCTGGCCCCTGGGGCTTTCACGACTGCCTAGTTTGCGGGCAGTTTCAGGCGTGTTTTGGCATACGGATATGACAGAAGAGCAAAATCCACGGAAATGCCCGCCATGAGCTTGGTATACTTCTCCCTAAATTTCAATTCTTTTTAGTAGGGTCTGCTTTGCCGACCCTGGCTTGAAGTACATACAAGTTGTCAAGTATGCTCAACGTGCCCGTATCCAGATATCCGTCCCCTTCCCGTATTGACCATACGCCTAGTAGATTTACCAGTAATGTTATGGTCTGTACAGAGGAGAGGGAATCGGCATTGCCGAAAAGCTCCACTCTGTGTCACACACCATTATAATTATTTTTTGTCAGACTATCATGCATGTGACCGCACAGACAGGATACAGTCATCATGGTCATGTAGATCACGCAGAGCGTATCAGAACGATCAGGGCGAGTGAGGGCTTGGTCGGCCACAGTACCCAGTCTAACCCAGCGCCACCATGCTCCACACCCATCGCCCAAGCCACTCGACCCAGTACAGCAGCAAGTGAGATATGCAGCGCGCGAGCCGGGAAGACTGCTGCGCGGCTAATTCTGCGAAGACACAGCGACAATGCCCTGTATTCACTGCATACACGCCAACACAGCTACAGCGCTTGGTTACAATACAAGTGCCACAACAAGAGCGTATACACCAGCCAGTGGAAAGTCTATCACCAACTTCCCGCTAGAATGACGCGGAAAACAACGGGGTGCTGTTGTAAGCTCCGACGCTTTTTCACCAGTCGTTGACTAACTTGTTACGGTAATGCTGCACACGCAGGGTTGGCATTGTTCTATGGCGAACTATGTAGCCGAGTCATTGTGAAGTTTTCTGCAGTTTTTTTACCGTTGACTTGAACTTGTGCAGAAAGACCTGTTTCTTTGCCTTCAGCCGTTCAGGTCGCATTACCTTTTTGTTGTCTTGAGCAGCACAAGTCAGTTGCGTCTTGCTGCTCTATGCTACATCTCCCCGAAGCTGAAAGGACAACAAGCTAAGCGTATTTCCACAGGTATGCAGTGGCCGGCTACGCCCGCACCACGGCCACGATGGACAGTGGTCGTAGTGCTTCTATGCCAGTTGGCCGCCTCGGCAAGTGCTTACAACCTTGACCTCTTGAACCCTATCGTGGTCGGAGATGGTCGCAGGGGCATGTTCGGCTACTCCGTGTCGTTCCACTCCACGACCAAGGGCAATCGGTGAGAGTTGTTCGTTTGAGTAACATGATGACTTGTCTGCCTGTGACTCTGTGCACCATGGTCACGATAAATAACTTAGTCTTGAGAACTCAGCTGAGTGTGTTGGTGAAGAATATGTGAGTTGCTTGCGCGTGGGCAGAGAACTATAAAACATGGTCAGCAAAACAAAACCAAAAACCAAAAAAAACTTCTCCTCCTCGTATGTTTCGTACTCGATTTCCGGCGTCAGTTCGCCCTAGCGTGAAAAGTATTCAAATTGACACCAATGTTTGATTATTACCTTTGCCGGCATGCAACGCCATCCGAGAGGGAAACGCCTTCGAGTTGTGTTTTATAGCTCAGTGGTCAGAGCATCGTTGGCCTCAAGCGAAGGTCCCTAGTTCGATTCCTGGTGGTGACAGTCGATTTTTTTCTTCCGACTTTCCCCTTTTCCATTCCCTCAACTTATGAATAGTGGCGTTTTAGACAAAAAATTAATGCCAAACATTCAAAACTCAGCAACGTTACCGGAATGTGCATTCCGCTATGGCAGTTTTGGCTCAAGGTGTAACTGTGGTGACTTGCGTACATGCGTTTTCGAAATGCAGTTTCTCGTCGGCCCCAACTTCGTTGCGGCCTGTTTGGCCATTGTAGCCGGCGTGGTTGACGTAAAGCACCATAACTTAGCCGAGAGTCTGTTATGATTTGCCCTCAGCGTGATTTGCAAGCAGAGGAAGAAGGCGTATTAGGTAGTCCATGGTTCTGACGTAACGCAGTCTTTCATTATTTGCCCTAAGCTTTGCATTTTTAAACATATTATTGAAATGCTGCCACTAGCTGAGGTTTCTCCTTGCGTATGCGGTAACTATAGCCCTTTGCCGCTCAGCTAGGCATGGCAGTCGTCTTCTGCCACAGTTGTTTGTCTAGTCTGTGTCTCTACAAGCGCATGGATGTGCTTTTGCACGTGTTTATGAGAGAGAGAGAGAGAGAGAGAGAGAGAGAGAGGGAGAGAGAGAGGGAGAGAGAGAGAGAGAGTGTGTGTGTGTGTGTGTGTGTGTGTGTGTGTGTGTGTGTGTGTGTGTGTGTGTGTGTGTGTGTGTGTGTGTGTGTGTGTGTGTGTACCCCGCTAGAGGTACAGAATGGCCTGCGCCAGGGCATCTCCATGATACCGGTCCTTTTCAACCTGTACATGGCTGCTGTCTTTCAAACCTGGAAGCAGCGGATGGAAGGCGTCTTTGGCTTCAGTGTCGATATCCGCTTCAAAATCAATGGTCGGCTAATGCAGAAGCCCCGTCGCACAGCAGTGTCCAGACACCAGAACTGAACGCCAGTTTGCGGATGACTCCATACTGTTTGCGACATCTCGATCTGGGCTCGAGCGAGCTGCAGTGACATTCGATGAAGTCGCTTCCGAGTTTGGACTGACAGTTAGTCTCGCCAAGACCAAGTTCATGATGATCGGCAGCAACATTTCTGATTCATACCTTGTTCCTGTTTGTGTTGGTTCGAACCAGACCGAGTGCATACCGGATTTCTCTACCTTCAATACGTGCGTTGTTACCATCCTGTTGTACAGAGCTGAGTGCTGGGTACCCCTCCAAGCCGACATCCGGAGGCTCTCCACGTTCTACATGCAGTGTTTGCGTACTGTTCTTGGCATAACAAGATTAGATGCCTGGCAAGAGCTGATCTGCAATGATCAGCTGCTGAAAATGTGGGACGACAAGCGCCCACTCGCTGTCCGGATTCGCAAACGACGACTGGAGTGACTGGGTCATGTTGCTCGCATGCTATCGGAGCACATCCCGAAGATTCCGCTGTTCGGTCTGCTCCCATCCCGCCAGCCGCCTGGTGGTCCACACAAACGCTGGAAAGACTGTGTTAATGCAGACCTGAAGGCCCTGAATGCTGTGGAGGGATGGGGCACTCTGGCAGATTCTCGCCCCGACTGGCGCAGCATGTATCGTTGTTCCGAGCCCGAGCCGCCCACTCCCAATGTCCATTGCCAAATACGTAATCGGTACTTCTCTCGCCAATCAGATGAGAATCGTCACAAATGCTTGGCGGAACGGCAGAGACCAGTGTGTAAACAGGCTGGCGCTTGCCAGTGTTGTCTCTGGCGACGTTGGTTCCGCAGTCCCGGTGGATTGGCTACCCATCGGTGCAATCACGGACCTGCTCCCAACACCGAGAACCTCGGCAGCCCAGTAACTCCGCATTGCAGTACCTGTCACCGCAGTTTCAAGTCCAGCCGTGGCTTGGCCAGACACAAGTGCAACTGCACGAAACGCAGGACAGTGTCTGAAAGGGCCGACTTCCCATTCGAGTGCCTATGCCACAGGAAGTTCCGACTACATCACCATCTAGTGCGCCATCAGAAGTGCTGCTCCTCAGCCTCTTCCACCCCTCTCCCCTGACGGGGACCGTGTAACCTATCAAAGCAACGTGTGAGTCAAGGTCAAGGTCAAGAGTCCAGAGTGTGCGTGTACGCATGCATATGATTGTGGTCATTGCCATACTTTTCATGTGATCGTTAGCATGTACGTAAGTATGTGCAAGATCCGGCATATATGGAACCTAAACACCTTGTTGTGGAATTGCGTGACTGTACTTCCTCTTGTGGCTTTTCTCCCTTATTGCTTCAAGTATTAGCACTGTGCTCTGTACTAATAGGAACGTGCAGTACCTGCAGGTCACATGCCATCAGTGCTAGTCTTATTGTATTCCGTGGTGTGGATGATTACAAGTTGCTTCTGTAGTACATATTGCATAATCATAATAGTGAGGTGATAATCCTAGCCTACAGTGCCTGCCAGCTGTGTTTGACTCAGCAGCAATGTACTCTGCGTATATGTGCCTGTTAGAAGCTGTGTTTACACGTTATGACGAGATGCGTTGGTTCTTTCTAGAAGGTCTCTCCGAAACCTTTTGTCAGTGGTTGCCAATACATTAGATGCTGTAGCTGCCGCTAGTCGCTGACTCATTGTTCTCATTTGCATGTATGACTGCCCACATAGTTTAGAGGTGCCTTTCTTCCTCCGGCGTAGAAACTGTTCGAGGAACTACCATACATTAGATGGCACACCTTTGTGAGCCGGTTACGCGGAATGCTCTGATAGGTCACTGCTTCCATGGCTTACGACTATATCCTCTTCCTTGTTATCTAAGTTAGTTGCGTTTAGACCGCGGTGAGATGTTTGGCCGGTCATGAACTCTTTTCTCTCTCGTCTTCGTGCATTGTCTACTTTTCGAGCGTATACTGCTTTCCCATTTCAGACTCATTTTACCCTCAGACCTGTGGTTGCTTTGGGCAGTGTGTGCTGACAGTGCGGTGCAGGAAAGGGGGGAAATCAGTCAACAACCTAAAGGTCACCTGGTTTGAACGACCGCTTTTGCTCGCACCTTCGCTTGTTTGCCTAAACCCGGTTCACTGTAACGTGACTATAACCTCTGCCTTTGCCGTTCTGTTCTCATGTCGTAGACCTGTGGCCATTGTGGGAGCACCACGTGACACCCAGATCAACAGTGCTGCGAACGGACACAGGGAGACTGGGGCGGTGTACCGGTGCTCACTCCGCTATGACGATATGTCTTGCAGTCAGCTGGAGATTGATACAGCAGGTAATTGTTAGTGGTACTTGGACCCATTTGGAAAATGAACATCCTGTCACTTGTGAGACGGTTGGGAGTCATATACTGTAGATAATGTTGAATACTTGTTACGACTTCCTTAATAGCCGCAGCCGCACTTGAACGTACCCAGCTTTGGCCAGGTTGCTAGAGTTGTACCAGGTACACGTGTATCCGGTTGGTTTGAAATCCTGGAGCGAACACTGCAACAATGATATTTTGGGGCAGTGATGTTCAATATTATCTTGTCCGCGGTAGCTAGTGGACCACATTCGTCACAATTGGTAGCTGTAAGTCTTGTCGCAGTTCAGAAAAAATTTGATTGTGGACTTGGCTATCATTTCAGTGCATTGCTTCAACTGCTCACAATACAACTAAAAAGAAGAGGGACGAACCAGAAGCTGGAGAGCTGTGTGTGTTGTCTGCTCTGCTCCCTTCCTGTCTGCAACTGCCCCTCTTTTTGAACGCCTCAGCATTCAACCCCTGCAATCAATGTATTGCTGCAAACTCCTCCTGCTAACCTTTCGTGTAATTCATAATAACTGTAGTGTGCTTCTTCATGACCTCGTTACACCTCTGTCACACACCCGCCGAACGAGGAGCACAGATGTTCCCCTGCTTCTTTTCCCGAGGATCTTATCTGCCGCTGCCACACACAGCCCTTCATATCAATGTCCCGCTCTCTGGAATAAATTGCCTGCATCTATACGATCACTGAAGAAACCAGGTCAATTCCGGACCGCTCTCTTACCCCACCTGAAAAATTCACTGACTTACATAGCTCACTGATCAAATAATTATGCAATCTTTCCTCTGCTGTCTTAAATCCTACTCTATTTTCCTTTTAGGTAAACAGTTTCCTCTGAGACAAAAATGCGATAATACTCATAAAAAGGACACACTTCAGGCTCATTACAAACATCTTGAAAGTTTTTGTCTTCACAAGTATACTTTCAAGCCTTCTCGTCAGGTGAAATACAGGCAAGGGAAAAGGAACAGGAACAGTGGATTAAATACAGTAAGAAGGTGGTAAAACAGCGCAAAAAAATAAAGAAGATAGCTAAAGTAAACAGCGAAAATTGCAATAATGACACAAAGGTGCAAATGCGAGAACTCAATACGCGTGACATGTAGTGCGACAACAAGAGACAACCACTGGACATACATGTAACTAACGTTCCTGTTCCTTTTCCCTTGCCTGTATTTCACCTGACGAGAAGGCTTGAAAGTATACTTGTGAAGACAAAAACTTTCAAGATGTTTGTAATGAGCCTGAAGTGTGTCCTTTTATGAGTATTATTTTCCTTTTATTTTTATTTTTTTAATCTTTTCCTTACATTTGTGTGCCTGTAACTTTAGTCGAGCTCATGTAATAAGGCAACACTGCCTGTTTGTTATTCGACGTTAAATAAACCAATCCAAAAAAACAGAAGGAAAAAGTGAAATGCAAAATGAAATAAAAGAGGTGGAAGGAATACTGCCCCTCTGACCATTGCGAGATAGTTAATTAACATTTCCTGAGCTTCTCCATGCTGTTCTTCTTGTTTTTTTTGGTGTAGCCAACGAGGTAACCGAGTTCCGGTCGCCCGATAACAGGGTAGCTTCCTACTCTGAAGCTAAGTCCTATATGAGACTCGGTGCAACTGTCCTCAGCTCGGGACCAGGAAAGCCAGTGTGGGTGAGTGAGGGCAGTGTTCTTGTTGTATGGGCATTCTAGTTTCCTGCACAAACAGGCTCGGCTGGCTTTTTGCTGAGTGTTTCGGTCCGTGGCGCTCACAACCCAATGAGCACTGCATCGCATTGGGCAATATATTATCACCACTGATTCAAACATTTTTCACACTATATCATTGCGAAGTCGGGGAAAACTTTGTGAGCGCACTACTGTCATGAATGTGACAGCAAAGTGGGGTCCATGCCCGGTGCAAAGTGTTTGGTGTGTAATAGATTGATTTATGGTGCTATCTGGAGTTTTTAGTCTAGGTGGCACTGACAACATTACATTTGGCAGTGCAGTAGCTATGGTAACGACTCACCCAGGATGCATATTGTCTTCTAAATTCCAGGCATGCGCCCCGCATTATCACGACGTATTTGATCTGCCACCCAAAGAGCGGCGCGGAGCACAGAAAAGATGGGATCCTGTCGGCAGGTGCTACTCGCTTCCGGGAGACTTGGATGCTAGCAAATTTCCACTTGCAGAGGATGCCATTGTGCAACCATGTGAATCTCAAGCCAGATGTAAGTCATTTTATCTGGAGATTGTATGCGTAGATATGTACTTCTGAAAGTTAATCTTGTTTCAATCGCATCCACATTCACATAATCTGCTTTTTAGTTTAGTTCTCATGTTCAAAATGTCACGGTCACACAAGCAGTGCTAGGAAGGTTTTCTATGTCAGGTAATGAATGCGCTCTGGAATAAACAGTACCGCTCAGTGAAATCCAATTGAGTTTCCGGTACGCCATGCCGGGCGTTGCGCAGCCCTAGACCCGCGAACACTGGGCTGCGAAAAGGTGCACGGCGCCAACTTGACTCTCGCGACTGGATTTCATTGAGCAGCATTGTATTTTTGTAGCAGCAACTGTGAACTGTTCAGAAGAGCGCTAATGGAGAGCCTGCTTCTGGGCATTTTTTGTGGGATTTGCCAATTCTTGAATTCTCAGTGCACGAGGAGTACATCAAATTGAGTGAAGGGAGATCCAGGGCGATCAGTGGCACGTTCTCTTCTGGTTTGGTAGGACCCCTAGTTGTCACCTGCTAGTACTCAGCATATCTTGTTTCTTTGCTCTGCATGTGCAGTTCAGACACAGCAATACGGCAAGTTTGCCCAGCTCTACACATGTACCACGGGCATTTCCCTGGACTTTGTCAACGTAAGCACCTGCTGCATAGAACTCAACGATCTGGCAGTCGTGCTGACCTGTCTCAGTATGAACTAAGATGTTGCGATGAGGGTTGAATTCACCGAAACACTGCGTATTGAGCAGGGAATGGTGCTGCCTTACAGGTTTGCCAAGTGGAGGGTTCGACTGGCTTCTCGTCTGCTCCAGACGCAGTCGTGAGTCAGTCAAGTGCCAAGTCTTCGGCAGGAAGCGCGAGCTCCGACGTTCAGAGCAGACACGGTCTTCCCTGTTTGAATATGTCGCTCAAAATGCAGACAGCAATGCTGCTGGTCGGGCGCCGAAGACAGAACAGGCTAGGATTCACCAAGCACACAGCATACCAATATATACGCGGTGACTCGATTGAGCTTAGACAATAGGCTTTGTGCATGACAAAACTTCAGGTAGTAACAGTATCGACTGACGTTATGAGGATTCGCAGGACTATGGCTGTGCAACGCCCGGCGTATACTTGAGTGGCACGACCGGATTTCATTGAGTAGTGCTGTGCATATTATCATGAACTAGACATGTCGGCCAAAAGATCTGCTGAAATTGTGCTGAAGGAAATGGATGAGATTGTAATAACCTATAGCCTCGCCATTCTGACAACGGTGACACATGGCTGATCCGTGTTTTTTTTTGCAGAGATCATCTAATACGCATGACGCGTTGATCGGTGGACCAGATTCTCGCTATATCCAAGGTGAGAGCGACTGATATACATTCAAAACTCGAGCAGAACTGCAGACATTTTTTGAATTAGCAATCAAGAGAACGAATTCTGCCGTTATCGCGTCATTGCTACTATAGAATTGTTGTCCCCATGTCGACTATTGTATTTTCCAGGCTTTTTTGTGAAAATATCTGGTTAACTAGCAACTCCTCCCCTCCCCCCCCCCCTCCACCAGGTGACCAGTTTCTGGCAGTGAAAAATCCAACTGCCGTAAGATAATTTGAAAGCATCTACAGTTGTGCAGACATAGCAAAGCGAAATTTCCTCACTTCGCAGAGGCCTGCTTATGTATCCGGAACAGAATTGTGTCGGCCACTACCTATAATAGTCTGAGTTGTTCTGTGGTGTGCTAAATGGATGGAGTACAAAGACCGGTGTCGTGTGTGTTTGCGTGCGTGTTGGTATGTGTATGTACGTGCGTGGTGGATGTGATTGTATTTGTGTGTGTGTTCTTATGTGTACGCATGTGCGTGGTGGAAGTGCGTGTGGTTGTGCATGCGCTTCTAAATACATGCATGTGACTGTGTGTGTCTCTGTGTATGTGTGGATATGTGCTTGCATGTGCGCGCATGCATTTCCATGTTTCTAGGTCGAGTATATACCACCGGTGCAGGCCCAGTTGCAAAGACTTCTCGTACATACCGTGCAAGTCCCATCGACCCCGGATTGGTGACGAAAGTCAAGACGCCGTTCATTCGTGCTGGATTTGCTGTAACAAACGGACATTACAGTAGAGGCAGACAAGGTAGGAAGGACGAAGCTAGGTTTCTCCTATCTCGGAATGACTTGGATGCATAATCACCCTCACTCATACATGCCCTCCCATCACACACAAGCACACACGTGTACCCTCCCCACACGTACACACACACACACACACACACACACACACACACACACACACACACACACACACACACACACACACACACATGTACACACATATGCACGCACACATGCGCACACACGTAACTGTGTACTACAACATGCATGTATGTCCGCTAGTCGCCTGCTTTAATCAATTCTTTTGCATTGATATGCATTGCATTTTGGTAAATTAATAATGTGGCTTCGAGTTTGACTATAGAAGTTCCAGGATGAAATAGAACTATGTAAATTAAACTTGATTGCAAAAGAATAGACCTTAGTTCAAGAGACTAGTTTGTGTTTCCTGCCTTGCAGATGTGGCATTCTCAGCTCCACTCTATGACCGTTACTATGGAGCGGTAAGTGATGATTCCTTGACAGTTCTGTGCTGTGCCTGTTCCCTTACTGTGAAGACCTAGTAACGCAAACAACATGCTCGCGTTGCCAAAGACTTAACTGCTCACTTTAGAAACGCATGACCTTGGTTGGTACTCTGGTGGGCTCAGCCAGTTTTTTTCTTTCCTAGCTTGTACATGTATGCACGTGCCAGTGCGGCTATTACGACAGTCGTCACCCAAACAATCCGGCCAATGCTATGCTAGCTGTATGGTGCATGGGCTGCATGCACTACCACTACAGATACTGGCACTATATGTAGTGCACTGCACATGCAATGACTATGTGTCCCTGCATATACTCAGTGCAGTGATGGTACAGACAGTATATGTATGCATGCTACAATAGCACCATGAAGCACTGCGCCGTGAAATTCAGAATGCGTACAACACCACCGAATCCATGGAAATGCCATTGGCCAGAATGTTTGGCAATGACTACTTCCCAGGCATGCTCTTCTTCTTGCAGTGACCATGGCATAGTTTAGTTCCATAATCGCACATTTCTTACCCGGCATCCGACTGTCTTTCTCGTCAGCACAGCTTATCAGTGGCCGGAACTTTGAAAATAGTTGTCAAGTCATGTAGCACCTTGGCACTTCTTTCCCCCCCCCCTTCTTTCACAATTACTGTTTTAGACTGGCGATTTAATAAAGGCCGTATTAATTCATGAATTATACAATGTACACCTAACTCAGCGTCTTACCAAGCACTGAAGATGGCACTTAATTACCGGGACATCAAGCGCCCACGTGGCCAATCCCATCTCGGATGGATTGACAATATTAAAAATGAAATAAAGCACGCCAATATTGATATTGAACTATTATAGATTTTTGTTTCAGTGTCCTTTAGTACAACGACGATTCCTGATGAGTGTTGTACGAAAACTTGTTTGAATCCATATTTTTTCCCTACACCATTTCTTCATCTTTTCATCGTTTTATTGCACATCGTCTCCACCGTTTTTTAATATTGATATTTCTGACTGTTTTGAACTGGCTGAAGACAAGAAAAATGGCTGATGCTTGTGGAAAAATGTGCTGCGCTTGCGTAGTTGTTCTTACTGTGATACGTTCTAACAATATTGAGATGCCTTTTGCTTGCTCCTCTGCCTGGGTTTCATTGACAGATGCGTTAAGTAGAATTTATCATTGCATGTTCGTTCTACTCGTGTGTATTGTAGGTGTTTGTGAGCCCGCTTGATGGAGCCAGGTCTCTTCTGGGTCTGTACGATCTCAACTTTGCCCTGAAATGGCAAGACAGGCTCCCCGACGCTGACGTCACCTTGCTACATGGTCAACAGGTAAGGAACTGAAGCTGGACTATTGTAGCTACATAAAACTGATATCATAAACAGGAAGTAGAATTTGGTGGACACGCTTTTTTTTGAGCCATTGTGAACCTTCCTATCAATGCTGAATTGTTTAGGTAGGTAACGTTCACACGTTCGCGTTATAACCAGCTATACAATTGCGTTGAAGAACACAACCAGCTTTAGTTTTGCTTGCTTGTGTAAGGCCACCACCATGCCTGGTATACCGCGCCAAGGTGGCAGATGCAGCGCCTAGCGGGGAGGGTGATGATGCGCATGTCCGATGTGCAACAACTTGTATGATACAGTAAAATCTGTCATGGCGCCCACTCGCATAAGGCACCCACCTGTCCAAGACGACCACTGCAACCGGGACCAAGGGATACTATTCCTAGTCCCTGGATAAGGAGACCAAATGTCAGCAGATTCCACATTTTGAAGGTCCCTTGACTCGAGTGGTCGTCTTGGACAGGTTTCTCTGCATATATTGTGTGCAGTATGTTTGCCGTCAGACACCTGTGAAAGTGGCCAATGTTGGAAGAGGTGTTGATAAATTGGAGAGACACATTTTTTGAACCTAAGGAATACCTATCTCCATCCCCTACTCTAACAATAGTAGCCGAGTCTCAAGGGCACGTTTTGCCGGATGTATTTTGATAACGACAAGTCTCCGTGTGTTCTTGTTGTCGTCTTTTTCTCTTGTCGTTTGAATGCATAGCATGGAGAATTCTTTGGCTTCGCACTTGCCTCTGCTGATGTAAATGGTGATGGGTAAGTAGCTTGTGATGAATGAGTTCCACTACTTCCAATTGTAGAGGTGGCTGATGGGATGACGGCTACACCGTACCTCAGTGGCTAGGGCATTGCTAGCCTAGAGTGAAGGTCCCTAGTTCAAGTATTTGTGGTGACAGTCAATTTGTCTTGAGACGTTTCTTTTCCAGCTCCCTCACCAGATGAATAAAGAGGTGATCCTTCATAATGTAACATGCGCTTCTCAGATTGTCCAGCTGCACTTTGTCTTTGTATTTTGAACACTAATTGAAAGGTTTGTACAGAATTTTAGTTACACGCACACAGCAAGCACACATTTTTTGCCTGTTGTTTGCAGAGTTCATGAGCTACTGGTCGGGGCTCCGATGTACAGTGATGGACTCGTTGGCTCAGTGGACGGGGAGGTGGTCAGTGGGCGCGTGTATGTCTATGGAGAATCCCTGAGCAATGTTAGTTCAAGACTCTAATGCAGTCATTCATGACACACCTATCAAGCTGCCTCAGGGGCATTTGCTTGAAAAAGCATGAAAATAAGAATAAAAAAGACCAAGTGTAATCAGTTGGGGCAAGTACTTTAGTGCCCAGACATCTAGCTTCATTGAGCTAGTAAATTTGTGGAATGTATCTCTCCTCTATCCCCTCCTACTCAGCCATAGTCAAAAGACCCCCATATCTAATAGGAATTACTAGTGGCAGTAATGTCTTCATAACAAGTGGAAATCATGTCTGTGACTGCCTGCTTACTAGGCCAATTCTTGAGCGATTGTGACAAGCATGCACCGGATTCTTCAGTGCAGTAACATGACTAATGCATGTTCCAAGTATCTGTTGCAAGTGGGTGTCATACTGATTCAACACGGTGCGGAGAGTATTCACTAGTGAGCAACTTGTTCTTTACCACTTTCTCGCAGAGCTGAAAAGATGAACAGTGATTGGAGGTGATAACCAACCTCACTGTATCTAGCTCATCGACAGCAGAGCATCTCCAGTTCCTCCCATCCCTACCTACTATGGCGTGCCTTTGCCATTATGTGAACATACAATCATTACACCGTGCTAACTCTGTGCAGCTGTATTGTTTTTATTCTATATCTCCAATTATACTTGCAGGCAATTAGTGGTTCTACTGCTGGGGTGTCCGGTCCAGATTTTGGCTCAGCGTCCAGTGCCACTGAGGTTCCGCCCAATCTGAAGATAACGGGAAAGATTGGAGCACAGTTTGGCAGAGCAATTGCGGCCTTGGGCGATCTGGATCAGGATGGCTACGAGGGTAAGGAAATGACACCTGAAGAAGCGTTAAGTCCTGAAGTAGTTCTGGTTCTGTTTTTACCGCGCTGTGATCTGACAAGGACATTATAAAATTCTATTATCTGATCAATCCTGCGTCTGTTCACTGACTAGCGGAAGCACCCATTGCCCAAGACATTCATTGTGCCGTGTCACTCTAAAATAATTATGGTGTGTTCAGTAACACATCTCCTCTTGCTTTCACTACTGCACTCTACAGCAGCCGGAATTTCACTATCCAGGAATACTTCCCTTAATGTGATGCATTCATTCTCTAAAATGCATACCAAAAGGCAGCCAGACCGGCCTCAGCATTTCTCTTCTGTTTTTCTTTTCATGTACTGGTCAGATGTTGCCATAGGAGCACCATATGAGGACGGCACGGGTGCTGTGCACATCCACTACGGCTCCAGAGATGGACTGCTACCCACCAGCGCACAGGTTATCACCCCTAGTGACCTAGGCCTGCCTGGTCTGTCCACCTTTGGACTGGCCATTGGCAAAGGATTCGACATGGACGGAAACAATTACAATGGTACGTACTACCTACTACCTGAACTGGCAGCTGCATACTTTGGAAAATGCTATGTGTTGTGGAGTGGTCCTAACGCAATACAAGTTTGTATGGCAGTGGAGATATCATTGACAAATGTATTCCGTATCCATTGTTTGTCCACATTCACATTGCACTGACTTGGTCTTTCTGCAGTCCCAAAATCCAGCCACATGGATCTACTGGAGTGTAAAGAGTAGGCCCGGGGAAAAGATCATTTTCTTGTGCCAGCATAGCCTGCGAGGGAGGTATCAACTTAGTACTTGTAGATGATTTCCCGCATAGCCACATCTCTGGATGCCATAAAGTCCTTGTCAGTAGCCATTTTGTGTGAGATTCAATTGACAGTGAAATGCACGCGATCTGCTTTTATCGTAGATGTGATAATTGGAGCACCTGAGTCCAATCGCGTCATAGCCCTAAGGTGAGCCTTACCTATGGAAATTTAACAATTTATCAATGGCAAGAAAATGACAAAGTCAAAGCTCTATATGAAAAGTATTTAGACATAGGATGTGACATACCAGTTTTTTTTCATCTACTTGAAATCCCACGCCCGTGCTGAAGAGCTCAAAGTTCATCGTTAGTCTTGCTGTAATAAGCCTGATGTTTGTGCTGTGCTCTTTTACAATAAATTACGGTCGATGAATATGGATGTGTACATTTTTGTACATTTCTGCCATGCTTTTGGATATAATTATCTTCAGTGCTTTGGTGGGAAATTGGCTGTGAAAATATTTGTTTTGTACCTCTCTCAAAATGGCAGTGAATTTGAATAAAAACTCTTCAGTGTATCTCTGGCCAAACTGTTTCCTTCAGGTCGAGGCCAGTTGTTGATGTCAAGGTCTTCTTCAGTTCTGATGCGAGCGGCCGAGAGACATCTGATTATGTTGCCGACATTGCTAACTCTGACTGCGCCTTCAACTCGGTTGCGAATTTGCCATGGTGAGTACGATAGCCTGGATGATGTGTGTGATGTTTGGGCATCGGTATGCATTGTGTAGTGAAACCATCGTAGCATGGTGGATACAGACTTTTATTCTCAAATATCTTCTATAATGTTGCTGTTGTGGGACATTTGAAATAGATCCTCGACAGGATTTCTCATATTTTGTGCAGATTTCCCATCCATATCTGTGATGGGTCTCTACTAATGGATCATCTGGATTCAGAATACATAATCTGGATTCAGAATGCATCAGCTGAATCATCTGAATACATAGTGTAGATCTTCCGAATAGTATTTTATTCACATATGTCATAATTTATGGATCATCCAGATGTAGAATTCGTGCTGTGTTCTAATCTCTCCAGACCGATAAAGGATATCTGAATGGGGTACTTTGTTTCCACTGTGCTATGCAGCTTTCAGGTTCATGTGTGCGCAACGAATACTAGCGAGCTTCCTCGTGAAAGTTCTTTGGGTAAGTAAACCTCAAGCCAGGATACGGACGGTGATAAAGCAGAAGATAAGCAGAAGATATACAGGTGTAAATGGGCATGAGTGAGAGTAGCGACATCACACTGCTGTTGTATAGTTAACGGTTCCATGGAGGATGTGAGGAATCGGGTCTTACGTGAAAAACACACTGATGCTCCTAAATTGTATTGTATTTTGTATTGTATTTATTTAAAAGGATTCTCCAAAAGCAAATGGATGCTTATCACGGAAGTCTCCCACATAAATATCGCAAGAAAAATGGGGAAATGGGGGAGAGGAGAGTGGAAGATGAAGCATGGGAAGAAGGGAAACAAGTACCTACATGTCGAGGTATAAAAGCTATATCTTTGCTATCTGCCTGGCATGTTCTTCTAAACACTAGTATTGACGACTTTCCAGCCTGTGTGTTCTTCCGAGCCCGATATTGCTGTTCTGTACTTATGCTGTGTGCTGCCAACAGAAGTGGCATTTGACATTGTGATGGACAACAATCTTCTAGGACATCCTGACGCAAGCGTCCGGCACCTTCGCTTCAATGGCTCCTTCAGCCTGGAGAACTCCCGAGGGCCAAAGTGTGAGCCGCGCACCATTTACCTTCGAGTAAGATTCCAGCACTACATACATATCTCTGTCATTCGAAAAGCAGTACTCTTGCATTTGCTGTGCTCAATATCCTTGTTCGGGGGAATCCCGGAATTCCAACCGACTTTCAGACCAAGCAATATGGGGTCTGATTTCCGGAAGTGTGAGGATTTGTGAAAAGGAATAGTCGGTATTCGTGCTTGTGGAGAAAATTCTAAACCCGGAGGTCTTCAAGTGGTCTTGTTTGGTGAAGTGGTCGCTTTAGTGAGGTGGTCGGAAATTGAGGTTCCACTGTACATGTACATGCACTTCCAAATTCACTCCCCACTGACCATGCAACGTGAGGCAGTTCAGCGTTTGAGCAACGTATGTTAACAAGTCATGGTATGAAAGCAAGCAGCATTATGCAACATTCACAGTACCCATCCTATGGGGTTGACCCGGTGTGATGTGTAAAATGAAAAACCAATCTTGCATCTCTTTACTAGCAAAATCTCACTGAAGAGTGGAATGCGAAAATTGAAACTCGCGACTTTGGAATACGTTTTGCACATTTTGCATCAAGAAAACATAGAGTGCTACTGCTCACTGAAATGCAATTACGTAAGTCGAGTTTGCACCCTGCAACAGTTCGTTCACGCTAACTTCGACCGTAGTCCTGTACCGGTTGGTTTTGTGTGTCCTGTAACGGGTTTCAAAACATGTTTAGTATTACGGTTTCTGATATGTTCTCATGCTAAACAGAGGTTTCTATCGTCGAAACGATACCAAACCAATGGTATTTTGAGTGTTGGGTACGAGTACCGTTGGATTTAGCATGAAGGGTAAAATGCTAACCATCTCTAGTATGTACACAAAGCAGGGGGGGGGGGGTTGGAAGGGGGTTTCAAAGCATATCCAGTGGGAACATGTTCAGTGCCATCGTGTCAGCCAAACCTTCACTGTCACTGTCCCAGTTTCGCCCTTCTCTCTCTTCTGACTTTACCCGCGTAAGTAGACCGTTGATCAAGCAATCAGCCTTCTCCGAGTCCAGCTGAGCCGTCAGCAGCATCCAGAACGTGCGTAAGTGGCTGGTTTTGGGTCCCAGTGACTCAATCAGGCGAACAACATGTGGCAATGTTGTTGTCTTGTGTACAGCAACATAGCGAGCAGCCAGAGACTCTTGTAATGTCAGATGACTGAACATCCATAACCGGTCCTTATCCCTGCTGCTGTTGTCGGCAAGTACAAGAAGGCCCAGTGACTTTGCTTCCCTGGCAATCGAACGTGCCTCCACGTCGGCATCAGAGAATATCAGCTGCTGCTTCCTCAGCATACTGAAGGAGAACTTTCCGGGATCCAGGATGAGGGACCGCACCCGAGCGGGGATCGCATTCCAATTCTTGTACGACTCACCGGTGTGACGCTCTGCTACTTGGATGGTCATCATCTCAAAGATATCTGAGAGACAACGGGGCAGTGTGCGCTTACGACAGTGGAAGATCTTGCACGTCTGCATGGCCAGGAATGGTGTAGCCATCATACTAGCAAGGTTCTGGTCACGCCGTACTGCCGTTACCAGTGCTGATGCCTCTTCCGCTGATCTCAGCACCTTTCCGATGTACTCCTCTACTCCTGCCGGAAACCAACAAGTTCCACACGCTGATCAAACTGCTTTTGATCACACAGGCTCAGTAGCTCAACGCAGGGCCGTGACGTTACTACCAGACGAAGCCCCTTCACTTTAGACCCGTTGATGATGCCACGAACAAAGCCACTACACTCACTAAGGCAGATCTCATCAAGACCATCTAATATTAAGCACAGTCGCTGTGCTTGCTGGCGTACAAAGCCATCGATGCTCTTGCGCTCGTAAACTCTCCCTGCTCTTCCACACCAAGCAGAGAGCATATATTCGTTGCTTTTCTCACCTCCTCGTGTCGCAGCTTTCGCGCTACCACCAGGTCAAGCGACGTCCACATTTCATTCCGTACACATTTCAATGGAGCCACTTTCGTCAAGGCGAATGTTTTGCCGCAGCCAGCACAGGCAACAACCAAGATGCGATAGGTTCGACCACCGCTAGAGAACTCCAGCATCTGTTCTTTATCAAGATCGAAGAGACTTTCCAGTGAGATATTCTCCAAGCTACTGGCCGCCTGTGTGAAAACATGTTCCACATGCCACATGTCGCCAATCAAATCAAAACTCGCCTCGCTGAACTGATCTCGGAGCTCGGGTCTCGACAAAATGACCAGTCTCACTTGCACGTCTGAAACGCTGGGTTCGTTGAGCCCTTCCTCAACCATGCCTTCTCCCATATCTACCGTAGCGCTTACATACTCGTGAACTAGCAAATCTCTCAACCGGCACACTGCCTCGGGTACGTTTCTTACCTGATCTGCTTGACCAGTGGCGAGACTTGCTTGTGTGCTGGCAGACTCGGTCGCTATACATTCACCGCTATTCTGACTTGATCGCTTCGCTACATAGTCCTTTCGACTAGTGTTCTCTTTGCTCGCCATGACGACGCTGAACAGTTCGCACACCAAGACCAGTGACATACTAGTGCAATCATAATCTACATGTAAAAATATTCCTCCTTTCCAGTTCCGGTCACTTAAAAGCGAAAAGTGCAGTCACAGCTCGCCTGTACACAGTCAATGGGCGCCTCGTGACTGCAGTTCCAGATGCAGTTCGAGGCCCGAGTCGCGAGTATCTTCTCCCGCGGCCTTTTCGGCCTTGTCGATGCTATTTTTAGGTAGCTGAGGTCATTACCTTTCCAATGGTGCCACACATGCCTTGCTTCCAACAATAATGCCTCCGCGCTTGGCGCGGATGCACTTCGAAGTACTAATTTCGACCAGATCCGTACTCTGCCCCGCGAGGAACACCCAATTTTCGTGTTCAGCGGCCTCGAATTAGCCTAAACCAATAGGATTTTAGAACATTGAGGCTCGCGCTTTATCGCGGTAGAAGGAAGATGATCACAGAAACCAGCCCACGGCGATTTCCTGGTGGTAGACGAAAAAAATCGAGGGAACTGCGCACACACTGTAGAAGCAGTGACGGTGAAAACGTGTGACTTGTGCAAGTAGGTGGGCACGGCATGCATGCACACATCCTGTGTCGCCATATGTATGCACCAGATAGTGCAGTGCTGGACGGAAACCACACGGCTCACATACATACTTGCATTTACTCAATTGTTAGATTGACAGCATGAAACAAGGTGGAGGACACTGTGTTCGGAAACAGTGACCTTACTACAACCTTCCGCGGTTGGCAGAGCCCCGGTCCCTGCGGACCATTTGAACCATATGGGTATCGCACCCGGTTCTGACCCTCATTATGCTAGGGGGTTAGGAGACTACTCCTGATGTCGTCTTGTTTTCTTCGCTCTTTTCTTTAACTTGTATAAAGACTTCTTTTTCTTTTTCCTTTTCTTCCAACTTCTGCCCATGGCGTCCTTCTCTCAGCTTGTCAACTGTCAACAGTTTTTTTGTCATCAATTTTAGCGGATAAAATGTTTGGCGCTTTCTGAATGTGGACCGATTCATGATAAAATATATTAGAGCGTTCAGAGTTTCAGACTATAAAAAGAAGGATGACTCGTACTAATGTACATGCAAATTTTCAATTGCTGCAGCAAAACTTTGGCAAAAACACTCCTTTCGCTAAAGTCGCTAAAATATCACCATCGCTAAAATTAGCCGTTTTACAGTATTTTGAGTCCAGCTGCTGTTCCTCCTCTCTTCCTGCAGAATGACATCCGGTTTCCATGCCGACCCGCCACACTGAAAGTTGATTGGAAGCTCATTGAACTAGACAGCACGGAGGCACGGCTGTCTCCCATTGTTCGAGCAACAAATGTGCAAAATCCGGTGATTGCAAAGGTACGGTGATTGCATAGTGTGAAACCACTGCATCGTTGCATTCTAAGTTGGCCGGATGTTTTCAATTTCACTTTGAACTATGGTTAATGGTGCAGAACGTGTGTGTTATGCCCTACTTGGTTGCATTTCCTGCCATGTTTGACACCAGACCGACTTCCAGCTCCACTTCGTAGGGTTATGGCATGTAGCTTTCTTGACAAAATGCAATCAGACCAAAAAAAACAGAAAATTTAAATAACTTCATTGCTATTTGTCCACACATCTATGCTGGAGAATCCATCCTCTATATGTTATGTGTTTATTCTCGATATTGCTCTTACTGCTGCTTCTACCACTGTTACATTGTATTGAAGGCGACAAAAGTAGTAGCAGTAGGAACCTGAAGGCAGTTCTTGTCTGTAGTTTTAAATGGTAAAAATAATGTTGAACTGAGGGTGGAATTGATTTACCCAATGGCTTTTCTACGGCTTTTTGGTAACTTGTTTCAGATTGACATGACCGGGCCTTGCTCAAACTGTTTACCTGACATGAGTGTTCTGCCGGCGACCTTCTTTACTAGGTAAGTGCTGCTGAGGTGGCAGTGATTCACTCAATAACAAGCCATGCCGAGAAGCTCATTAAATCTATTCCATCAGTTTCTGAAGCACTATTGACCCATCAGTACATTGGACACTACTGAGTTGCCTATCAGTACATTGGACGCTAGTGATCCATCAGTTCAGTGGACACTAGTGACACATTTGCACTTTGGAGATTAGGGAGCATCCAACTTTGCTTTTCTCGATGATTTTTAATCCAAATCCAAAAGCGTGACTACTTCAGTGCTCCTGTGCATCCCGTTTGATTTCAGCTTGACGCCATTGTGAATAAAGTGTCTATTGTGTGTGATTGTCTACTCGATAAATACTGTGCCTCCAGTGACAATAGCCGCGACACGGTTATCGCTGGTCAGACTGAGACAGCACAGCTGTCCTTTACCGTACACAACATAGGAACAATGATCGGCTGCCGCTCAGAAGCCTTTGTGACCTTGCCTTCGGGTGTGAGATTCATTGGAGACATCGTACCAGTAAGTCTATGTGCGGTAGACCTGCAAAACAGAGTACCAAGAGACCACCTGTCTTGTGGGAGGACCTGCCTCCAGACACCATGTGTCTTGAGAGAGGACCTGTCTTGAGAGAGAGGACCTGTCTTGAGAGAGAGAGGACCTGTCTTGAGAGAGAGAGGACCTGTCTTGAGAGAGAGGACCTGTCTTGAGAGAGATGACCTGTCTTGAGACCCCTTATCTTCTGACCACACTTTTCTGGAACCTGTCTTGGTGGAAGGCCATGTCAGACTCCTACTTTTCCGTAATATACATTCTGAGCAAATTAGCAAGACCACCTGTCAATACGGACATGTTTACTTTCCACAGTGGAAAAGGCATTAAGCACAGCTTTGATTTGGAAAGTCAATTCTCGTGCGACAATAAAGTAACTCCTCGTGAAGTGTGCTGCCGTAAACACTGATTGGACCTGAGTAGTGGTAATCCTTACACAAGGAACTTCACTCATTGGCCATGCTTTGAACCTTGGTCCAATTTTTTGGAAATGCTCTGATTTCTGCAGGTCATTCTAACAAACTAAAAACCAAACAAGATTCTCACACAAGTGGCCTAATCTATTGTTTTGGTCCTTTGAAATCCTAAACAATCTTTTGTGTCTGCTGGGCGCTGTAATTCAAATTTATGACCTGGAGGACATTTATTTCAGGCTCAGTATCTATAAATATTACATGAATGTTAAGTACAATAATGCATGTTCGAATATATTTCGTCTTTCATGGGTTGAACTCGGATGGCGAGCCAATATAGTTATGATGAAGAAAGGAAAAGGGACAAAATGTGACGAGTTATGACAAACTGTCCACCAACGTAACCAGATCTCGCTGACTGGATAAGATCTGGTTACGTTGGTGGACAGTTTGTCATAACTCGTAACATTTTTGTCCCTTTTCCTTTCTTTCATGGGTATACATTACAACTATGGTGGCTAATTTCATTTTATATGATGCTATTGGGGCTTTCTCTGCGCTCTCCTTGTGTATATTCTGATCAGGGAAACCAGTCGTGTCTGCTCGATGAAGGCCATGAGGTGCCCAACACTGTTCGCTGTGTGCTACCACCTGCAATGATACCATATGAGCAGGTGAGTTCTGGTGATGCTATTTCACGTCAGCGTCGCCAGCTTTGCCGCGGCATGCTCTGGTGCAAACCTTGCCAGACTCGCCGGTTGTTTTCAATCTTGGGTGACACATGTGAGTTTTGTGTATTGTATAATTATATTGCTGAGTTTGAGGATTGAGTTGCAAGCAAGATGCTACGTGAATGTACATGTATGGCTGAGTTGGAAGGATCCACTGCAAAGTATTGACTATGCTGTATGCTGTATGCTGTATGCTGTGTGCTGTGTGCTGTGTGCTGTGTTTGGGATTGCGATGTTGCGTATCCTGCTCACTGTCATCAGGAGCAGATCGTCATGGAGTTGAACATGAAGCAGATATCGGAGCTCCCCAGGATGGCGACAATCACGATTTCAGTCAAAAGGTATCAACGGCACGGGGTTCTTTGATGCCAACAGGGGCGTCGGAACCGGTGCAGCAGGTGTGGCCAAAGTCGCACCAATAATTTCATCTTGATTTTCGCAGCAATGAAATGTGGGCTACTTGGGTCCAATTTCCTTATCTGCGATACTACCCCGGTCACTCCGACCATCCATGGCCGCACCAATGGCGAATGCCTTCCGACGCCCCTGGTAGAGAATGAATTTCTGTACCTATTTGATTTGATTTCTGTTCAGTTATTGTTTTCACTAATACTCTTCCTTCACTATATCCAAATTAGTAATACAGTTAAACTCCCCAGATCCGGACACCCCGAATCCGGGCAGTTCATTGTAGAGGGCACCTTTCTCGCCCATCTACATGTATAGTCACAAAATGGCTTTGTAACAAAAAACGGCCCCAAAAAAATTATTGATTGTCATGGAAAGGTTTACTGGCATACAGTAAGTATGTATGTTTTGAGTTACGGGCAATTCCGAATTGCGACCAGTGCACGGTCCCAGCCTGCCCGGATTAAGGAGTGTTTTACAGCAGTTCTCCATTACCGGCAGTGCGTCCGTGTGCGGCATTGCATCATGGGAATTACCGCATTGCACCTCTTCCATGTGTACCTCCCGTGTGCAGTAACAACACCGAGGATCCGTCGACATTGGAAAACAACCAGTACACAGTGCCGCTGACAATCTTCACCAAGGCACGCATGACTGTTGTGGCGTAAGTTCCGCGCGCGTTTGCTGTCTCCATACGTTTACTCAATCTACGTGCATACCGTGGTCATGAACTAAGCTTTGCTCTGATATTATTTCAATGGAGCATGGTAAAGGCTGCCGAGAGACCGATGAAAAGACAAGAGCCAAAGATGAAACTTTGTAATGACAAGGTCACCACTTTTAAAATACAATGTTTTTCTAACTCCTCTCCTTGCCACTTCATAGGATCACCACTGATGAGCTTAAAAGTTGATGATCGTAAAATTCCTTAACCAGGGTGTAGTGACATCTACAGGCAAATTTCATCATTTTGAAATTCAAACTCTTCATATTTCCATGTACTGTGTGGTTCTACTGTTTTTGGTATTTAGCAAGTCCCAGCACCGGTCAGTTGAAGTTCCCAACGGTGTTGCACAGCCCAGCACGCTGGAGGAGGTCGGCCCAGAGATGACGCACTTGTTCCAAGCGTTGAACCTGGGACCGAGCAGCACGCCGCCAGCACAGCTAGCTATCTCATGGCCTGTGAAAACACCAGCCGATACGGAACTTCTCTACCTGACAAAGGTCGAGGTGAGGAAGATCTACCTACAACTTGTGCTATTAGTGCAGGCACTCCAAAGGCGTGTCATGGATATGGTGCGTTAGTCTTGAACAGAACTTCCTAGCATGCAAACACGGGTGATGTCCACCTCAGATAGGCCACCCACGCTAGTGTAACCGCTTTCATCCACTTGCATTTATACCATCCAACCCAAAGTGTACCAGTAACTGATAACTGTTGGTAACGTTCATCTGTCTTGCACTATCGTTTATCTTCTCGTGCAGTCTCCGCGTCGACAGATCCGCTGTAATCACTCTAGCCTGCTGGATCCCGAGCAGCTGCGGGTAAGACTGACTTTCACCTGTGCAGAAGTGCTGCACAACCTTCTCATGTCCAACACTAGAACCACTGAGTCTCAGAGTGGCGTTCTGTCCCATTGTGGGTGATCTGCTATCATAGCAGCACACAATGGTCGGTGTGTGCAGTGCCTCTGGTACTGCAGTGCCAGCCGTTATATCGATAGCAATGGTAGTGCGCAGTAAACGTACCCAGACATAATTATAGCACCCGCGCACGCCTGCACGCACACACAAAGGCACACATGGAAACCCGCATACATGCCCACACAAACAAACAAACACACACACACACACACACACACGCACACATTTTACTTGAGTCACCTGTCCCAATCTCACCAAGCGTATTCAGCATGTCTACTGCACTATTCATGAGCCTATTCGTCGTGCATGAACCTGTCCTTTGCTTAGTACATGCACTGGTGTACACATTAGAGAATTAAAATTGACCTCCAGTTTGGAGACCTATTTATTCTGAAGTGCATGCTGTAAAAACTTTTGAAATATAAGTGGTATACGATTGTAGTGTCTTCCCTAGTACCCGAGGTCAGCCAGATTCATCTGTACCTGGGGGAACAAGCCGGGCTATCCACGCATATTGGGATTACTTGTAAGAGCATTGCTCACCTCATGCGAAGGTCCCTGGTTCTAATCCTGGTGGTGACAGAAAAAATGAAATCTCCAGACTTTATCCCATTTCCATTCCCTAAACTACTGGATATTGGATTCTTTGTAGTTAGGAAATAGATGCACAGATGTGCACATATCAAAGGGACCCGGTCTTGGCCAGGTGAGTTGTGCTTGGCTGATTTCTTTTGACCAGTAGGTCCACACGCCCTCTCAACCGGGTTACTGGCCCTGCTGTGCTGGTTCCGCAGCAGATGTTTGTATTCCCGAACTTACCTTGCCAGAGTGCTCAAACTGACAAGTGCCTAACTCATTGTATGTACTTTCATCACTGTATGATGTGCAGAGTAAAGACGCCATCAATGGCACGTACAGCGTAATGCCGAATGTGGATTCTGCTTCAAGCAGTGTACAGGTACGTATTAACTCCTCATTTCTATTCCTACCTAGTACTGCGAAACAGCTTCAATGCAAACACGACCAGCTTGTAAACAAGAGCAACTTCACACCAAGCACAAACAAGTTTACCTTTCACACTAGCAACGCCGTCATAAGATTATGTAGATGCAAAATGTGATGAGACTTATCAATTTTACCACTTGTCGGATTATGACCAACAAAGGAATCATTTCATATACTGTCTATATCCTAATTCAAATCTTCTTACTAGTTTTGTAGTGGTTCTAGCCTGATTTAGTATGTCAACGTTTCCTTGACGGTACCAGTAGTGACCTTAAATCTCGATTTCTTAAATTTGGCGCTTCTCGGGTTTTATATCTGAACTCTTCACTTCAACCTATACACGACTGAGCCCACAAAGAATTTGGTTTGTCGTTAAACCATTCTGAAAAGTTCTGGGTAGAGTTTGAGCATGCCTATATAACTTAGTAGGTAAGGCTACCTGCACCGAACATGAGGAGAGCATGTGAACGCGTTCTTTTCTCTCATTCGGATTTTGAAAATTCTTCTGTGCTTTGCCGTGCCAGGGCGACGTGGCCACAATCATCTGCGACATTCCCAGTCTTGTCGTGAAAGACTCCGCAAGCATTCAGATCACCTGGAGAGTTAGAGCCAAGTCTATACATGATGTGAGATGCACTATAACTACGATACCTACATATCCTAGCTGTATTGTACCGGGTATACGTCGACCACGAGTAGGGGCCGACCCAATGCTTTGATCCTCGAATTACTGGTTCAATGGTGGTTAAATCCCGGTTGTAGTTGCCTACCCGTTTTGGGATTTGCACTTTAGGTCGCACAAGGCCAACCTATAACAGATGTTCACTATAACAGATGTTCACTATAACAGATGTTCACTCTATCGCTTTATAAGTAGTATTCTGGCTTCAGGTGTTAACGGAAAGGTCTTCGTTGTCCGAGTTTGTTCCTGCGTGTATCACTGTGAGTAGGAGAAGGGTTTTGTGAGGTGTCGACCGAAAATCCAGATTCCTTCTTGACCTGATGCTTGTATGTTGTAAACCTTTTTGTTGAATAAGCCTCTTAAACGGCCAATCACAGATCAGAATATCACTGGCCTGACACAACAGCTGAAGAAAAAGCAAAACAAAAACAAACAAAAAAGTTAAAGAAAAAGAAAACGTATGTTGTAAACTAGGCACGTATGGCAATGTTGACATGGATGCCGCTGGTGGGGTTTCCCAGCACTTGTGCCAGTGGTTGTGAGACGTATCCCCTCGCTCCCACCGTTAGGCGCTTCATCTGCCACTAGGGTTTATCGGATGTTAGTGGCCGTCGTGGGTTCCTTTTGGGAACGGACATGATAATTTACGTTTATGGCGATGTTGCGGTGTGTTGGTATCCATCTAGGCTGCTCTCTTACCTTCAAACGTGTCGACTTCAATCTCCCTGGTCGGTTTTGAGGCGCGAGATGGATACGAGTGGCTGACTGACCAGGACACGGGATTGGCGGAGGTAAGCTCAGTGTTCTTAAAATGAAGAGCCAGATGAGGATATAAACCTCGCATCGTGTAGACGCTAAGCTCTTTCTTTCTATTCCAATTACTGCTGATGCCATGTGAAATCTTAACCAGACGTGTGCATAATCTCCCACTATCGCTTCTTACGGCTACAGCCTATGTGTGTATGTGTGTGTCACTGTGTGTGTGTGTATGTGTGTGTGTATGTCGTCGCCCTCCTTGTGGTCCCCGGCGGCGCTGGAAAGACGTTGTCCAGAGAGACATGAAGGCAGCTGGCGTGGATTCCTGGTTTCAGAATGCCCAAGACCGGCAGAACTGGAGGATGTTCCTTGCTGAGCCACCACCGCACACAGATGATTCGCCACCTTTGCGCTGCTTGCTGTGTGCCAAAGACTTCCGCCGCCGTAACGACATGGCCCGACACAAGTGCATTGCCCGGCGGAAGTTGCCTGTGTCACAACAGAAGGGTGCCAGGCAATGTATGAAGTGCATGCGGTGGTTGAGGAGCGCTGGAGGACTGGCTGTGCATCGCTGTCCTGTGTCCACGGATGTCCCCACTGTATCTATTCGCCATGAATCTGACTCTTTTCGATGTGATGTTTGTCGCCGCTCTTTCCGCTCTCGTTCTGGTTTGAGCCGTCATCACTGTGAATGTGCGAAACGGATGTCACGTGCAGCCAGGAACAACTGCCGTCATGAATGGCATTGCGAAAGACGGTTCTCAAGGCCACAGGACTTGCAACGCCATGCCAAATATTGTTGACTTTGCGATTTCTCTCTCTTCTCTTCTCTCTTCTTGTCGTTGTCTCCCGTTTCTGGGAGCGGCGTGGCCCGATAGGGTAGCTGTACATAGTAGTAGTAGTAGCGTGTTGCGCGTGTGTGTGTATGTGTGAATGTGTGTGTGTGTGTGTGTTTGGTTGTGTGTGTGTTTGTGTGTGTGTGTGTGTGTGTGTGTGTGTGTGTGTTAAATGGTGTAATCCCAGCACAAGTTGCTATGTCTAACATAGCTGTTCGCTATCATCGCTTCCGCGATGGGCATGTCTGAGTCTGAGTGTGTGTGTGTGTGTGTGTGTGTGTTTGTGTGCACATGCTTGCACATGTTTGTGTGCGTGTGTGTACATGTGTGCGCGCAATAAACACCATGTTTGTTCTGTAGGCATTGACAGAACTGGTGGGATATGTGGAGGTGAAGGCAAGCTCTCTAAAGCTATGGCATATCATTGTCCCCATCGTCGTAGGATTGATTCTTATCTTGCTTCTCATCTTACTGCTATATAAGGTAAGGGTAAGCCAGAATCACACTATTGGGAGTATGTGTCTGCCCTCCTCGAGGTCCGGCTATTGCAGTATGTCTACCTTCCTCGGTGCCTGGGTATTGCTGTTATGATAGAGAGGTTAAGATGCACGTTATTTCTGATGCGACGCGCAATTTCACGCCAAATTTGGTGTACAACTCCAAATTTCGACGCGAGCCGCAGGTCACTTGCGTTGTTTTTCGAATAGCGAGCCAAATAACGCGAGCTGAACTTTTGCGTCACATCGGAAAGAACGTGCACCTTAACCTCTCTAATATTACACCAATAGTCAGGTACTGCTGGGGCCAGTATGTGTTTTCCCCCGAGGCCCGTGGCAAGCACATACTGCTAGTGTGCTATTCAGCGGATGTACAGAGCTAACCTGTTCAGTGCGGCAGTTCCACACTCTGCTGCTTGGCCACGCTACAAAGGGATATCTATACTCAGCGAGTGTCCTGCAATAATATGCAGTGTTGAATTTTTAGGTTTATGCACCTTTCTATATGCATCCGAGGGCATGTAACATTTTTCAGGACTCCATGTGTGCTGTACAATGCCCAACCTCTTGTTGTCTGATAATGTCCCTTCCAGTGTGGCTTCTTCAAACGAACGAAAGAGTTTGATATTCCGGCCAGAGGAGCTGCGGGCCAAGGCGCAAGACCAACCAGCGAGGTGTAATGCAAGGGTGCCGGATTCCCTCCCTCCCCCCCCCCCCCCACACATACACACAGCTCAACACCACTTGCCCGAACAACAAGGACCCCATCCAGGAGCTACTGAGCTACCGTACGCGGGGAGCAATATGGGACACGCGCATGCAGATGTCATGAATTGCCATCCTGCTACAGCAGGCCCCTGAACTTGATCAACCAGGTACTTTGAAGTACATGTATATAAACATCTCGTTTAGCTTTGATACATAAATTGACAGATAAATTAATAACTAAAGCACCCCTTCTAAAGATTGACATAACAAATGAATAATTTTGCAAATTTATACTGAAAAAGAATGATACTGTACTCCCAGATGTTAGGAACATAGGAAGTACATGCAGCAGGAAATCAGGAAAGTGCACATCACACTCTTCACACCTGATGCAACAATTAGCACAAACCACAATAATATTATTACTCTATATTTACCTGAGCATATAATTATTTAGGTTATTCACTACTACTGGTCGAGCCTGATGCAAACCTCCAATATCATCATGACTGTAATTATAATCTACTTCGAAGTACCTGGCCTGACTTTCCGAATGAACATCATTTTACTTGTCCACGTGGCTGGCCAGCGGCATGCGCCCACGCACTCCAGAACCATCGCACAAGTTGCATTGCGGACGGTGCGAGTGTACTGGCCGAGTGTACTGGCCGAAGACCGTGCTTGATCGCTGGGCTATACAGTCATGTGATGGAGCGTATTGCCAGCCCAACACCTTTTCTTTCTTTCTTTTTTGAAATTTTCATTATGAATATTGAGGCCTGTGTGGAATCAACGATATCAATATTTGGAGTGAGGTGGGAGCAAGAAAGAGGCTGATGTGGCTCCCAAGGTAGAAGCGGCAAAGGAAACCGGAAAGTAGTGAAGCAGCCAACGCACACGGTGGTGTGTGATTGGTTCAACCTCCGCTGTGTGCCGCAGGTCTCATGTGGAGGCGTAATCGATCCTTTCTTCTGTTCAGCTGGAGCAAAGACATGAAAAACAACTGCATGCAACAATATCTCTCAGATTTTGCCTGCTGTTTCCAAAAAAGGCCTACTAAAACAAGAGACTTAAAAACACAGCCACATTGTGTGTGCAACTGGTCATGTGACGAGCGTGGATAGTGTCCGCTCTGTGTTCAGTCCCTATTTCAATAGTATTTTGTGTGGGTGGCTTACATGTATTTGCCAGTATTTGGTGGGTGGTAGGTGGTGTCAGTTGGGTTTGTGCTGGAAATAATTAACACACGAGTGTTCTGGGTGGTTGGGTGCTGGGCCTTGCAGTGCTGGTAGTGTTAGAAAGGCTTGGGGTGTGTGGGTAGCCGAGTCTTGGGCATATGCCGGTGTGGACGTATACTTGTAGTTGTCCTACCAAGATCCTCTACTGCTTAAATACCTCGGATAGCTCTCCCGACCACGGTGGACTGAAAAAGCCACAAAATGCACACCCGACGCCAAAAGAAAGATTTCCGTAATATCTGCGGAACATAATTTCTTTATAGTCTGATCTCCATTTAGTCCGGTTTTCAGGACAATAGGGGATGTTTTGGACTATGGAGGTAAGGCCAAAAAACATTTCAATAATTATAGTGTGTTAGATGGAGAAATGTAAATACCTTCAGTAAAGAGACTCTTTTTGAGTCAGTAAATAGAAGTACAATATGTATAAGATCTTTTGAATCTGAGGAACAAACATACTGGAGAAAATGATTGCATATCGTCGATCTGCCTCTAAAGCTGCCACATTATCTCTCACGAGCTCCACCACTTCTTAGCACTATAAGACATGATTGCTTGTCCACTGACTGCTCTCCATTCCAACTTTGATGCATGGTTGTGGCAGAATAGTTGATGTATCAAATATTTCCCCTAATTATCCACGTACAGCAGTGGGAGATGAAGCCATTATTGCAGGTACTCATTCATTGTGGGGATGAAGTTTATCTTGGCAACTAGTATTCTGCCTGCAGACAAGCTGTCACTGCTTCCACTCTGTGAAAAATGTCTTCATCTGAAACACCAGACGTGAGGCCACCTCCTGAGAGCCGATCTCAGATGGAGATCCCTCCCATTTGCGGAAATCCTGGAAACAAGTGGTCAGAAGTTATTTTGCCACTCTGCATCCTTTGTTTGGGCTCTCATCTTCTCCTTGAGATGGTGTGTGGACGTATGGTTTGCCACAATACTCTTCCTTTCTGATAGCATTTGACTGTAGGCCTGGCATTACAGCCGTCCACAACTAACTTCACGTGCTTCATCAGAAAAGTAAGACAGGCGCTGCTGAGCGCTCCAATCGACTTGGTACCGAGTGCATGAGAATTTCTAGTTCTTTTCGAGCCTCCTGAGCTGGACTCGGCAAAGGCAGTTATTGGTAGCTCAATAGGAAAAACTTGGTCCGAAGATTGTCCAGTTTTACTTTTCTACACCTTCCTACATGTGTACTGAGTGAAAAAAAAACATTCCTTGGGGGGGGGGGGGTAATTGGGCTAAATCTTGCCGTACGGTGCCTAGAAAATATACAATTTTGCGATTTTGCGGAGTTTTTAGCACACATCTCTTCAGGAAATATTTTCATAAGAATGCTTTATTGAGTCTTTCTCGATGCTCTGCTTCGTCCAGGGATGTCCCTGGAACAAAACTGGAGCATTGGGGAAGTTCTAGCTTTGAATTCAACTACAGTTGAACATCGATTATCCGACCACCTCTGGGCAGACAACTGTCAGGCGGTGTTCAGATAAGGCAAATGTTCCGGATAAGAAACATGTACATGTACATGTACGACCTTTTTACTTTTCAAAATTTTCGTATTTTTTGAATGGCTCACTACATGCACAGTGCGTACTCTACGGCACGTGCGCCCAAAAAAACTGTTACGGATAATCGAATGGTCGGATAGTCGATGTGCGGATAATCGGTGTTCAACTGTATTCAGTTTCAAAAGGTTTTGCGGGTTGCGAAATTTACGTCAAATTTGTTTCAAAGAGGATGAAATTTCAAAATTGGTCCGAAGATGTTCATGTTTTTCTTCTTTATGATCAAGTCAGACCCTTACTGAGCTGGAAAAACAAAAGTGGGGGGGGGGGGGGGGGGATAATTGGGCAAAATGTTGCTGATATGGACCATTTGCCGATATCTTATATGGGACATGTGTATTTTGCCTCCAAGACACTGCTTCTCATGCAAAACTTGATAGAGGTTCCATTGGTTATCAAGTTGGTACTGATGGAACAGCTGTTCATTCGTGTGGATTCACAGGAAGTGTGAGTTACGAAGTCTGAAGATATACAATGTAAGAATGTTGAACAGTAGGGTCCAGCGGATAATGCCGGCATTATATTCGGCATTATAAGACTATCCGAGCATCAGAGCATCTATTTATTAATATGGAGCATTAGAAAGGAACAAAACAAGCATTATGTGAGGTTTGAGTGGCATAACGAGTTTCATAATGGATAATATCGGGAAATCCCAGGTTTTTCGCAACAATCGGCTACAGTAAAGTCATGGTCATGAGGTGCAACCTAAGTTACGCATTGTACTGACACAAAACTTTGTGATTGTGTAGACACGTAAAACCTTTAGCACTAATGCTACATAATTATACAATGTACACTTACCTGACCACATTGCTACATGAAGACGTTATGATTGTAGCGATGTGGTCCAGTAAATGTATACAAGCCATGCATGTAGCATGCCCAACCGAGGCAGTTACACAAATCCGGAGAAATGGGTTACGAGTTTTTTTTAGAATAATGGAGAGCTATGGAGGAGACGTATACGAAGTGAATATCAAACAGACGGAGAGGAGGTTTCTCGTTGTGCCATAGGCTCTGGCGATAGGGTCTCTAGAGATGCTAAAGTAGACACTGATGCATTGATAAATTTGGACCAGGATGAAGGAGCGGCTATAAACAGAAAGAGCTCGTTCCAAAAGAACTGCCTTTTCCGGGTCCAGCTGAGGAGGCTCGAAATTTAGAATTTCCCATGGACTGACTCAGTAAGTCGATTTGAGCGCTCAGCAGCGCGTGCCTTACTTTCCTGGTGAAGCACGTACAGTTAGCTGTGGACGGTTGTAATGCCAGGCCTACAGTCAAATGCTATCAGAAAGGAAGAGTATTGTGGCAAGCCATACGTCTACACACCATCTCAAGGAGAAGAAGACAGCACAAGCAAAGATGTTGAGCAGCAAAATAACTTCTGACCACTTGTTTTCAGGATTTCCGTAATTGGAGGGATCTCGATCTGAGATCGGCTCTCAGGAGCTGACTTCACGTCTGGTGTTTTAGATGAAGACATTATACACAGAGTGGAAGCAGTGAAAGCTAGCTTGTCTGCAGGCAGGAATACTATTTTCCAAGGTAAACTTCATCCAAACAATGAATGACTAGCCGCAATAATGTTTTCAACTTACCCTTTTTGGATAATTAGGGGAAATATTATTTTGATACACCGACTATTCTGCCACAACCTGCATCAAAGATGGAATGGAGAGCAGCCAATGGAGAAGCAATCATGTCTTATAGTGCTAAGAAATGGTGGCGCTCGTGAGAGATACGGTGGCAGCTTCAGTGGCAGGTCGACGATATGCATAATTTCCTAGAAGTTTGACAATGTGCAGACTTTCTCCCATTTTGGTCCCAAACCAAGAGCATTATAGCCCTTGCTGAAGCATTATAATCAGCATTATAAGATAGTTTTGGAGCATTATGGTTAGCATTATACGAACATTTTCGGAGCATTATCCGCTGGACCCTAGTTCAGAGATGACCACACAACACTCCCTATCCTATTTCCCGCTGTTCACGAAGTGCTAATACGACGCTGCCTGACTGTAGTACATGCACTAGCAGACCTATAACGGGTCGTCTACACTATCCCCTGGTGCTGGAGACGGTTGCACCAAGTCTGAAGACTCAATTGAGACAAGCCTCACCACCACTATGCTCCTATCATGCTTTTCCTGTGAGATATAATCATGGTAGAAAGAAGAAAAAGCGGTGGGAGGTGAGGAGATCAGGCCCACTAAAGTGGTCAAAGACCGAAAGTTCCATTCACTGCATCCAGGCTTCCCCCTAGCAAAAGAAAAAGGATATTCTTAAAACAAAACGTCTCCTATTTCTCTCGGTCTCAGTGTACTATCTATCCTTTGAACTTAGCAGTGTCACACAATGTACACGGTCGGCATAATTAGCCACCGGGAAAAGCCAGCAGAAAGTGATAACATTGACAAAGATGTGACACATAAGTTATAACTCGGTGCACGCGTGCTGAAATCGCAACAAAAAGATACCTAGCAACAGATGGAAGTTCCAATGAGCGCTTGCTGCGTGAAGGATAGGAATCGCGATGTTGTGCGTGTAGTTCAGTCCTTCCGAATTCCTTAGATGATAGATCACCACTTGTATACTGCCCTTGTCTCGTGGTTGCAGGAACGTCCAGCCCATGGAAGTCCATGCAGCTAGCCAGCTAAAAACGCCCATTGGAAATCTACCTGGCACATTATACGGGAAATGGGAATACAGCCTGGAGTACCATAACCCAAGAAGAAGAACCCTGCTGAAAGTTTCGCTGTGACCTGCCTCTTTCTACTAGTATCTCCTTGAATACTCCTGATTGATTCCACTGGATGGATGCTAGTGTAGAGGGACAACACAAGGGGAACTCGGTACCCTGTTATCGCTGAATTCTGTCCTGTATGAAATCACGTTCCTAGAAAGCCGAGGCTGGTGTTGCAATGCATTCGGCTATCATTCCTATACATGTAATACTTCGAAGAAGTTTATCAATACGTGCT